AAAAGGTAAAGCGACAAGAATATACTAAGTCCATTCGCCTCTATTAATACTATATCTACATATACTACAAACTTTAAACTTATGGAACTTATGTATCTAACCGACACTAAAATAGTTGAATACTATAATTGTTGAGATACTTATAGAAAATATCTCAGCATATTTTAGCATCTTGACAACTTCCAAATATTTAAATACCATCTTGCTCCGAAATACATGAAAATCACCCCAAAATATCTATTATATATCTCCTGTATCTCTTATATTTTCATTCAACAATAATCTAATATTCATTTCGTTCTTGCTCCGAAATACATGAAAATCACCCCAAAATATCTATTATATATTTCCTGTATCTCTTATATTTTCATTCAACAATAATCTAATATTCATTTCTTTCACTTTTTAAGCATCAAGAGTCTTTTTGCTCGTATATTCGGTACGCCCTCTTTAACAGTGGGACCATTAAAGCATAAAAAATAACAAAAAATTAAAAATTACCCTCCGTAAATAAATCTAAAAACATTAAAAGTGTGTTAATGCGAATATGGTTGTTTCCTATTTCTCTTTTTCCAGAGCCTTGTACTGCTCTACAAAAGAGAAACATTAAAAGAACTTCAATTTTCTCTTTTATTGTTTTATAAGCTAATTTGTACAGTGGACTTTCTAGTTTTCCTTAATTGATGCATGGGTCAAACCATTTTGGTTTATGTTTGCAAAGATCAATAACAGATGTGTCCATTAGAAAGATTTTATCGACTTGTTGTGTTTAAAACATAGGAATAAGTAATCCTGTAGAATACGTGTTACTATCATTATAAAACGCCACTCACGTTTAATTTAAATAAATTAAATATAAAATGAAAATATACATTATATGCAGTATGATGTTTAGCTTATTATTATATTTAAATGTTTTCATAAAAGGAATAAAAATACTTGTAATATAATTAAATAAGCTAATACTTCATAGTTATAAACTAATAAATGTTCATAAAAATACTTAAGGGAATTTTTTTAATTTGACGTGCCATATTTTAATTTTTTTTCTAAAATTAAATTACAAAATAATAATATATTTTATCTAAATTTTATTTTAAATTTTGAAAATAAAGTTCTACTTTTTTATATACAAATATTAATAAAATAAAATTTCAATAAAAAATTAGAATAATTTAAATTTATTTTTGCTTTATACATGTAAGCTAGAGGTGACAAACTAAAATACTAAGTATAATATTTTGATTATAATGAAATTTTGTAATAACTTATTAAAATATAATTATAATTTATTTATTTAGATATATTTTTGTGCATGCAAGCTTATATATGTTCCATATTTTGATAACTTGTTTTTAAAAACCTCGTGAAAATTGTTTTTCACTATTAGACGCTGTGTCTAATGCTTTATAGTTTAATTCTTTAAAATATTTGTTCAAAGTTTTAAATTTTATTCAAATTCTCCCTTTTCTTTCTAAAGTTAACTAGATCTTTCACTTTAAGATTGAATTCACCACTCTTTAAAGAGTTAAACCGAGCAAGAACTAGGTTCACCACCACAAGTCTACTGAAAAATACTCAATAAACATATTTATTTATATTTATAATTTTGACTCAAATCTTATGATAATTAAATATATTTATATATATATATATATATATATATATAATTTTGTTTCTTCGTTTAATATTTTTTTATAAATATTAAAGCAAAACATAAATATATATTGAATAAGATTTTTTTAAATCTTTACAATTTTTTCATATTTTTTTTCATTATTTATTAGTAAAATATTATTTATTTTTTCCAAAAGTCGTTTATTAAGATCTGATTGTACCACTTCATCGGGTTGAATCTCTAATTTATAGACTTGACAATTCCAAGTTATTCCAGTGCTAAGCTTCCAAAAAGTTCATAGTTCAGTCATTCTGATTTTTCTCAAAATTTTGTTAATATAATTGTAGGAAATCATCTTAGTCTTTCTATTAATTAATTAAAAATATATAAAAAATATAAATTATAATTTAAGTTGTTATTATATTAATTTTAGATAATTAATATTATAAAATATTCACAAAATAATAACAATTTATTTTATATAATAATATTTGTCACATAACAAACGTTTAGACTGTTATGAAAATCATTAAAGAGTATAACTAGAAGATCTTTACTAAAAATATTAACAATTTGATATCGAGATAGAACATGAAAGATCCATATTTCCACACAAATAATTATTTCAAATATAAAGTGTGTATACAGGATTACCCACACTAATATAATGTAATTTTTTGAATTGATCAATAAAACTTAAAAAAAAGTTTTGAATCCAATAAAATTCAAAAATAATATTAACTATCAATAATCATAATTGTCATAACATTTAGTTGGACATAATTCATTTAATATAACTTAAAACCGACTGAAGATACTTTGAATGTTTTTGTTTTCTTCCATACTGGATAATTCATATTAGAAGATTAAGTTTATTTTGTTTTAGGTAATAGAATCCTCAAACATTGTGGTAAAAGTATTACATATGTCTTAGCACCTTGAATGCATAGTGCTTTTTGTATTCTTTTTTCTAATAAAGTGCACATGAAAGCATTGTTGGCCCTTGCCCTTGAATTCAACATGTATCTTTGTTTGTGTTGGTTGTCCAATTATCTTTAGGAAGAAGTTTCCTTTCACTATCGTATGAAATATAATTCTCGATTTTCCAAAACATCCCAAATATCAATGAACATGATTCAAAGAATGTAATCATTCTCTATTAGAAATAGTTGAACTTCACTTTTTTTAATGAAAAAAATTTTGTTCACAGCTTCTCTTTCATTCTCCTTTGTCTTGTGGCCTATGAAATTAACTTTAATAGTAACGGACTCTACAAGAAGGGGTTGAATAATAGATGATCGTATACATAGAAAGTACAAAACAAAAATAAAATGATAAAGAGAGTTCAAATTATATTAGTCCACCCCAGTTCTTGTACTAAGTTTTCATTTAAGCAATTCTTAAAGGGTTTCCCTGTAATCAACTTGATATACAAGAAAAAATTATTACTATCATTTCAAGCTACAATGAATACACAAAATTACTCTTAATTATCCCTTCTTAATCTCTTCCTTCGATTAAGAATTACAAATATTTTTACATGTCCCTCTTAGCTACAACAAAAAGAGTATAAAGATGATATACAACAGAACATTCACCATTGAGATTATAATTTTGGTGTAAATTATAATAAAGATTTTCTCTCAACTACTATACTTTTTCATAGATATATTACTTATATCATTTGAATGATTAGTATGTAAGTAGTAACCTAGTTTATGGGGAGATGAGGGCCAGATCACCAATTTTTTTTAACTTACATAAATATTTATAATTTTAATTCTATATACTTTTGATCTCTTATTTAATTATATATATATATATATATATATATAAATTAAATTAACTATTAAATACATTGGATAAAAAAATATGTTATATTATTTTACCTTTTTATATTTATTTATTATTTATTAATAATATTTTATTTGATTGGTGAAATATTCCCCACTATATAATTATCATATATTATAGCTGTATCTTCTACCTTCATCATCCATTACATTTTATAAGTTCTCATATTGTAGAATAATCTATCTTTCATATTCTTTTAAAATATATGTAATAATTTTTAATATATTGATAGGCAGCACTGCGATATGCTTTAATAGTCGCTAAAAATTCTTCTTTATAAAATCTTAGTACTAGATAATATATTTCCTTTTATAAAAGAAATAATATATTTGATTATATTAGGTTAACAATTAGAGGAGAGATTTGTTTTGGATTTAATCCATATATAATACTCTATATAATTCTATACAATATTATAAAAGTCACTCAATTTTCCAAATTTTTATTTTAATCTACATATAATACTTTATATAATTTCATACCAAATACATTCAATTTTTGCAAGTTCTAGTTTTGGCTTACCTGTAATCTTTTTTATAATTTTTTTAATGATTATACGTGTTCCTTCAAATAACAAAATGTGATTGTGTTTAATATTTAATTTCTTATTAAGTCTAATTAATTGTTAGATGTTATAGATATTATAGTAACATTTTATTTAGCATTATTGTCCATTATAAAATAATTTATTATTTAAAGATTTTTTATTTTTTAATTTTATTTTATTTATTACTATGCTACACAAAGAGTTAGAATAGAACCATCTAATATACTAGACTAAAGTCCTAACATATTTTTCCATTATAATTTTCACATTACAAAAAATCTCGTACTATATGACACGCTTAAATCTTATCAAGAAATTTATGGCAGCCTCAGACGTATATTTCGTTCTGAACAGTATAAACCTTGCTGTGCAAATTTTATGTAGATTTTTAATGTATAAGAGAGAAAACTTGCCGGTGTTACCCGTTTTTCCCAGTAAACAAGACCAGGTAACGAAGCTTGAATAATTAAAAACATAAATGCCTTCAGCAAGTAATCTCCTTTTTGTTGAACCAAAACTAGCCACTAAACTTGGATTTACATGAAGTTATGAAATTGAGAAGATAAGGCCTAAATCTCGTTTACAAAACGGAATACAGTGGGAAAACAAAAGATGAAAGTGCAAAACATAAACCCAGTGCTATTATGATTCATGACCGAGTTTCAACATTATATCTATAGCTTGATGATCTCAAGAGTCTTTTGTTGTGTGATTGCTTTAGAAGTAACAATTATGACTCAGCAGAAGAAACAAATCTTATCACTATGATTTATGAACTTTAACAAATAGGACAACTATTAACTTTACCATTTTACAAAAGAAACAAGAAAAATCTATACCACCGATGTTAAAGACACCAGACAATTTCATGCTCCATGCATCTTACTCAGCTGGAAATATCTTGAACCCAAATCACAACTAGAATCAGTTTGTCAACTGTCATTTTGGAACTGTTCCTCCATTTCAATATTGCTTAGGCCATCACTCTGAGCTCGTAGTGTTGTCACCTGCAACCCAATACTTCTTGACAGCAAACAACACCTTCTCTGAAACCAGTGGACCATCCTCATGATCCACCATTTTGGTATTCCATCTCATTCCTTTCACAATTCTTTTCACCTTCATTAGCACATCGGCTTGATCTCGGAATATCACTGCTCCTTCAGGCCGTAGTATACGGTCCATCTCCAACAGAATGTCTTCTGCATTACATCTGCATTGATCATTTGAGTTAGCAAAACCCAACTGTATTTTTGTTTCCCTTGCACACCTGTCCCCAAGGTTGTTCCTCTACAGGGTCTAGCATAAACATTTAGCACCCTCACCACGTTGTATTAACTGAACTTCATTTAGCCTATCCAACTGCTTAGACTAGTACAACTAGCCATGAAGACTACGTTTCATCTGGGAATACAAAAGGAAATGACAAAGAAATCAACTTACACATTTTTGTACAAGCTGAAAACACCATTTGCATGGATAAGGTCATATGTCCTCGGATATGTGGAGAAGGCTTCACACCTGGTAGGAAATTGAAATTGATAATTATCAAACAAAACAAGGCTCTCTTCCAACCCCTTAAGTTTCAAATTAAAAATCTCTGCATGGTTAGATCGTATGAAAGTAAGTCCATTGGAAGCAAAATTTATCAGAATTTACTGCTCAAAGAAAAATTACTGAATCGAATCCTTGTACATAAAGTTTTGCAGTACTTAAATTGCTTATGTTTCTTGGCCTTTAACTAATCATCATTGCAATTATCAACAATTAACTCAGACCAAGTTCTTCAATAAAATGACTTTGACCAATTCTAGGAGGTTCAGGTTTGAACTAAGAAGGAATAATGACAAACACAAATTGGCAAATAATAATTTTTTATTATGGACAGAGAAAATGGTTATATATTGCTTTCTGTGTTTCATTTCTTCTGAGTCCATTATTCTTTTCTTTTTCTCCTGGTCTTGTATGCTTTGGTGATATATTTATGTATGCAGGCAGCTATGGGGTTAGGGGATATAAGTTTGAATGTACGTTTGAGAGAGAGACCTCTTTGTTAAGGCTTTGGCCTATGCATTGTGGATTGTGCTTTATATTTGTCCTGTTTGTGCAATCTCAAAAATGTCAACTATTATACTAATTTATGCAGTGGAAGGTCAAATATACAAGAGTTATGATCTTAAGTTATACTTTTATAGCTAAGTTCAACTTACTAAAACTAAAAAGGTTACACACAAGAGACTTAAACTATAAAAGAAAAAGAAACCATGTCACAAAAGTTACCAGTCGTGATAAATGCCAATCAATCCACGCTCAAATATAACACCCAGGTTAGCTTTCTCAGCAATTGTGGGCACAACATTCATAACCCATAATTTGGGTGATTCCAGTGCGGCAGCAAAACTTCCCAGACCAGCATTCATGTCCATTATGTTGCGATACCTCCCTGAGCTAATGATTTTGTTGATCCGTTTGTATGCATTCACATGCTTCTTCCATAATCGGTTGTCCTCTTCAAATGCTTCCGCAGATACACCAGGAACAGATCCACTGGTAATTCTGGAAGGAACATCATTGAGTCTCTCCTGGAATGGCTTCCATGAACCAGTAGATTTAGTAAGAGTTGCACAATTTTCCATTTTCTTGTACCTACACATTTTCAGACCTTTAAGAAAGTTATTGAAACCAATAGTCCATAATCCAAAAGTTAGGCCTCATTAGTAGCTTTTCATAAATGATTGAAGAAATGTGATTCTTGATATACCATGCTTCTGACGTACTCAATCTTGTAAAACAGTGTTTTACTAGTCAAGAAATATTTCTTACAAAATGCTTATAGAATAAAATTTTGTATCCTTCCGAAAGATAGCTTAAGAAATAGTTTGGGACTAGATACTAGAAAAAAAAAAATATTAACTTAGAAAAAACTTAGAAAATTATTTATGTTGAAATACATTCTATCCTTCCAAGTTGACAAAGAATCTAGTGCAAGAGTAATAATAGGATTTGAGTTTCTGATAAAGTATTAATTAATTAGTGAAAACAAAAATAAAAGGAAGGGGCAAAAGATGAGTGAAATAATTTACCAGACATCATCAGAATTTGTGGTTTCACACATTGTAGGTTGAGTATCTTGTTCAACGCAATCACCACTTTGCAATTTTTTTCTCCAGATCGCTATTTCACCCTTCTCATATTTCTTTTCCCAGCATAAAAGTTTAGCATTATTCTCAATCTGCCGTTGCTCCTCCTCAAGCTCATAATCAGGACGTTGCCATGCACGAAAGTTAGTTTTCCAGTTGATGGGAGGACCAGCCAATATCCAGTAACCACCAGGTCTAAGAACCCGGTCAACTTCCTTCATGTACATTCCATCTAAGAAACAAGTTCCCATAAGTACAGTTTAAAGAAATTTCTTACAACCAAAAAGCCAAAGTACTACTTTTGTTAACCCACCATCAAACAGTTAATAAGAAACCAAGAAACAAAGTGAATAAAAAAAATCAGATATAGATCTGTTGTAAGAAAAAGGGGACTATGACGATCATTATAATAAGAAATAGCTAGGCCATAGTTTAAGTACTCGAAATCAATTCGGTTTTCTAAGCCACGAGAGAACAAATCAAACAACCCAACCTTTTAAGCTGTTAACTTTACAATCAATACAAGCTGAATCAGACTTCATTATTGGTATGGTATGTAAGCATATATCATAAAACATGTTGTTGTCATCCATAAAGGCCATAATAACATACAAAATCATCTCCTCAAGAGATACCAAGAAATTTTTTATTGATCCAAAACATATATTTTAATTGGTCTAGAGCAGAAACATCATAGTTAATCTCACCATTTGAACCCCATTGAATCAAGCAGCGAGAACAATGTGCCATATCGAAAGCTCCAGAAGGGAAGGGAAGCATTATTGTTCCAAGAACACCAATGATTGCTGGAACGCCTCTTTCTAAAGCAAATTGAACTTGTGCTTCATGAGAGTCTCTTGGTGCAATGGACATAGTAATAACATTTTTCTTAAACAGGTATGCACCAAAACTAGCAACCTAGCCCCAACAAAAATCAGCAAATGAGCTATTATATAATTAATGGGCACAACTAAGGGCTCCAAATTTGAAACAGAGACAGGAAAGAAATATTTCAATAAATAAGAAAATGTGGCATGGATGAAGCATTCAAAGTGGAAAGTTCCTTTAGGAAAGCTTGCCATTAGCCAGGACTCTCTCATTATGGAGAATAATTTCTTCATGCAAACATTATTTAGAGGCCAAAAAATAAAGATAACCAAAACCAGTATCTAATGTATGATTTGACGTACCCCACAACCAGTATCTAATGCAGTTCTAATCATCCCATTGTCCAATGGAATAACAGATGCAAGTTCATCTATGTAAGCATCAGCTCCATTAGGAAACTGCGTTCCACCACCAGGGAACCTGAAAACATTCCCTTCATATTGTATCCAATTCTGCACAGCCTTCTCAACTGTCAAGCTCTTGTAAGGCGCATTTGCATATGGTACATAATCACGACTCATGGGCCATGGAAATGGTGTTGCATATCCTTTGGGGGCCGGTATGAGACAATGCAACTTTTCTTCATCAGGAAAACAGTGTCTTTCTCTATAGGCCATGTTTTCTCGGGGAAATGTCATTGCCCGTGCTTGATCATGACAAGGGGTGTAATCAATGTAGTGATCATCACACGGCTTGAACTCCTTGATTTGTGCGTCAGAACCATCAATTCCATCATCATCATGGTGAGTCTCATAGTTTAGATCAGAGAGGACACTGCAATCTGTATGCTTAGTAATCTCAACAGCTATGCTATCTCCCTTTCCAAAACCACTCCGTTGCCACAAACCCAATATATAGAAGAAACCACACAAGCCAACTATGATGAAAATAGAAATTGAACTCCTATTATTCCTATTGTCCCCAGGATTTCCTTTTGTAACCATGATGAATCTTTATATTCTAAACTCTGCATGGTTAAAGCGAAACAGATTAAGGCATGAATGTGAAATGAACTAAATAGCAGGATGCTCCATTTAGATCAATTTACCAATGGTCACAACAACAACAATTAATGCAACCTAAAATCAGTCTAAACAAAAATAATATACATAATTCAAAGATTTGTCGTCTGCGTAAGCACATTGCCGTGCGGTCCACTTTTCAAACCCTTACGACAAATTAATTTTCACGCCAATCATTGTTAGAACATTCAATACATCTTATTGTGAATCAATTAAATCAACATTGACAGCAACCTCGTGCTGTTTTTACCCTTTGGAATTATCAATTAAAAGTATAACGAATCCAACAGCAGTGCAAATTCAAAGTACAAGAAAACATAACAAATTTGTGATTTAATTAAATCAAACACTTCCTCTAATAAAACTCATCCCTCTCTTTATCAAAAAGACAAAAAATTAAAACCTATTATAGCGGTTAACAAAGTTTGTTGAAATAATAGGATGGGAACGAAGGAATAGAGATTCATCACTTACTGGTACGAAAATGAAAACAAACAAGAAATGATGAAAATATTGGATGATGGTGGGCCCTAGGGAATCAAGATATGCATCTTCATCAATGCGAATTCCTGAAAGGAGAGGAACGTTGGCGGACAAAAGATTTGAAAAAAGAGGAAAGGATTTAGATTATCGTTGTGGTTGTGTTTGGAACGCAGAAGAAGTGGAATGATTGTGTTGTTCCTCGTTTGTTAACATTCGAGTTCCGAAATGTTCGAGGGTACGGAGATGTCGCAGTAATGTACTCTTTTATAGGATTACTTCATTGGTTGTTTAACTAACTAATATGTTTTCGCGTACTATGTACCGGGATTATAAATATCATTTTGAAAAAAATACCTAACGATATTTTTTTATCGTAACATTGAGACTTTTTTTTTATAAATAATATTATTTTAAAAAATATTTCCTAAAATAACATTTTTATAATATTATTTACTTGATCACGTTTTAAAATAATTGATTATTTTAGATTATGATTGATTATTTCGTGTAAGATCAACTCTCACTCAAACGAGAAATCTATCGCTTGAGCAAGGAAACTTGCAACTAATGGGTATTGTCGAATTCTATTTTGCTCAAGTGACAGAATTCCAGCTCGAGCAAGAAATGATTGAAATATGTGATGATCCAAGTTACATTATGTGACTAACTGCGTTGGACCTTTACTCTATGGTCAACTCTCGTTCAAGCGAGAAATTCATCGCTTGAGCGAGGAGACCTGCAACTAATGGGTAATGTCGAGTTTTATTTCGCTCAAGCGATGAAATTTTCACTCAAGCGAGAAGTGATTGAAATATGTGATGACTCAAGTTACATTATGTGACTAACTACGTTGGACCTTTAGTTTGTGGTCAACTCTCGCTTAAGCGAGAAATATGTGACTAACTATCGCTTGATCAAGAGTTGACCACATACTAAAGGTCCAACGCAGTTAGTCACATAATGTAACTTGGGTCACCACATATTTCAATCATTTCTCACTCGAGCAAGAATTTCGTCGCTTGAGCGAAATAGAACTCGACAATACTCATTAGTTGCAGGTCTCCTTGCTTAAGCGATGAATTTCTTGTTTGAGCAAGAGTTGACCAGAGACTAAAGGTCCAACGCAGTTAACCGCATAATATAACTTGGGTCACCACATATTTCAATCATTTCTCGCTCGAACGAGAATTTTGTCGCTTGAGCGAAATAGAACTTGACAATACCCATTAGTTGCAGGACTCCTCGCTCAAGCAATAGGTTTCTCGCTTGAGCAAGAGTTGATCTTACGCGAAATAATCGATCATAATATAAAATAATCGATTATTTTAAAACGTGAACAATAAATGGTAGTAGATGGGTAAATAATATTGCAGAGATGTTATTTTGGAAAATATTTTTTTAAATAATATTATTTATGAAAAAAAGTCATATTGATAAAGAAGAATTTGTAATATTGTTTATATTTATTAAAAAGGTAAAAAAATAATATAAAAATGTATGAGTATTGAAAAACAATATGTATTAATTTTCACTTAAATAAAATATAAAATAAATAAAATTTGAGACTATTATAATAAAATTTTAAAATATCTTTAAATATAACATTGATAATAGTATCTAAAGTTTTTTTAATTTTGATAATGTAGTAAGATTTTTAATATTTTTTCTTTGGAAAATTCTGAATTATTATACATATAGCAGATTGTATTGAACATTTCAAAACAAATAGAATTTATCATCAACATAAAGATTTATAGAGATAATTGTTAATAGTAATAATATATGAGATCATTATACACTATAAGAAAAAACATTTTTAGCGACCAAATTTTTTCGGTCGCTAACAATTAGCGACCGATATAATTTTGGTCGCAATTTAGCAACCATTTTAGCGACAGATTTAATATGGTCACAATTTAGC